GCCTCAGAAGGACACCTCCACTCTCCCGTTGAGGTGGAAAGGAAAGTCCATCCGCAGGCTGTGGGGGGGGGACACAGAGCCATGGGCAGCTGACATTTCAGGGAGGGGAGAGGCCGCCTTTGTCTGCTGCAAGCAGTGCACGCAGGATTTCGGCACCTTTAAGACCGGGAGGTTTTCTTTGGCCCCAGCTCTGTTCGGTGGGCAGGAGCCAAACCCTCGGCTGCACAAAGCATAACCTCCGTAGACAGGCATGCAGACACCTGGAAGGGGTGGGTGAGGAAGAGCAGAGAAACGCAGGAGGATGGGTTTGCGAGTGAGTGGTTCTTTGACGATGCCCTGGGGCTCAAGGGAAGGTCCTTCAGACGGCCGTGCCAAGGGTGGCTGTGGCTTCCGGGGGTACCTCGGCTGAAGGGCAGCAAGGAGGAGATCTGTTCAGAATCACCAAGAAATGGGGGAAGGGCTGGGCCGGGCCGGGAGTCCCCAAACGCCCCGCGATTGAAACCACCCACCCCCAACAGACCCCTCCCGGACAGACACACACCCAGAATGAGACAGCCGGCCAGGCTGCTGCTGCCGCCCATTCCCGGAGGCTGACTCAGCACCATGGAAAGATTTCAGATCCACACACCCGCCCGCCCCTGGCGAAACCAAAATCCCCTTCCCCGTTGAGCCGGCCGGGGCAGGGAAGTCAAAGCTTCAGCAGGCTGAAGGAAGCGCCGGCGGGTGGCTCCGATGCACAGGCAGCTGGAGAGGCTGAGGGCGGCGAGGCGGGGGGGGGGGACCAGAGCAGTTTTAGGCTTCCCAGAGGCGGCTGCTGGATCGATCCCGGCGGTGGAGGAGAGGGCCTGCTCTCAGCTGACTGAGCTGCCAGACTCAGCCCACCCTCTGCAAAAGCGAACCGCAGCACAGAACGACCCCAGAAGGGAAGGGGCCCAAGACCAGCAACAGAGCCGCCCGGAACGTCTCCCGAGTCGGATGCTGCCTTTGGCGAAGCGGCTACCGCCCTCAGACTGGCTGATGCCAAAGGAGGTCTCTCGGCCTTGCAGGCGCCAAAAAACTCTCGCTGGGTCTGGGCACCCTCTGGATTTATTGGCCGAGTCCGGGCCCTGCAGCCACCCATTCCTGGCCTCGTCCCATTTCGGTCTCTCGCCGGAAGCGCGCCGTCGGCCTCCAGGCTGTACTGAGGGCACACCATGAACGGCCCTTCTGTCACAGGGCGCGGGGACCCCAGGCCCGCCCACGCAACGGCGCAAACCCTTTTCGCCCCTTGCCATGATCACGCACTCCAGCCCACTCCATACGGCTGCATCACTTTGTGAATTTTCACCTTTTATTCTGAATAAAAGCCAGGCAGTTCTTTAGCAGCCATGCAGCAAAAACGGCCAATAGTTCTGGCCCTCCTTCTAAGAGAAGTCACAGGCTCTCTTTGACCAAAGCTTTTGTGGAGACCGACCGACTCCTCCCTCCTCCAGAAGCCGCAGGTGTTTACAGACACCCAGAGGGAGGAAAGGAAGGCGAACACTACTCGATAGACATGGAAAAGGTACCACCATGTGCCCAGCCTTAAGGGCCCTTCTTGGTTCTTAGTCTGGCGGGAGGGGGCTGGGGGGGAGCCTACAGCTTACAACTGTAGTTGCCAAGAATCCTCCAAGGATCAAATAAAGGTTGCCAAATAAAACCCCTTCGTCTGCCTTTCAGGTGCCGTACCTTAAGCACTTAAAAGGTCCTTTGGGCCTCTCATGAGAAGGCAGGGCTCAGGGGAAAAGCTAACCCTGCTAGGA